GAGATGAAATTTAAAAAAAAAAACACACAATTGTGGTTCTCCATCAGGGAATACTCACATTCAAGAGGGAGAAAAACTGTCTGAGATTGCTTACTGTTAACACACAATTGTTTTTCTCCATCAGGGAATACTCACATTCAAGAGGGAGAAAAACTGTCTGAGATTGCTTACTGTTATGGGCCAAAGTATGTATCCTCCCAAATTTATATTTGAAGTCCTAAACTGCAGTACCTCAGAATGTAAATTTTTTTGGAAGTAGGATCTTTAGAGATGTAATTAAAATAAAAGATGGGTCCTAATGGAATATGACTAATGTCCTTATGAAAAGAAGAGATTTGGGGACACACAGAAACTAGCCAAGGAGAAAACGTGGGAGTAAAATCAATATTGGCAACACCTTGAACTTAGACTTCTATCCTCCACATCTGTGTGGGAAGAAATTTCTGTGGTTTAAGTCACCCTGCCTGCGGTATTTTGTTATCACAACCCTGCAAATAAATGCACCTATTAAACAACAGGAAATTAGGTTAAACAAACAATATAACCCAGTTGGGAGTTAGGAAACAAGGCTTGGTAGCTTTAGCTACCATGAGAAAGGAACCATGAGAAAGAAGTAACAAAAAACTAAGTCTTTTTCATTTTATTTTTATTTTCTTAAGCTGATTTTTTTAAAAAGATTGTAGTGTTTATTTAACTTTATTTACTTATCTTTAATTTGACCAGAGAGGGACAGAGTCAGAGAGAGGGAGGGAAAGTAGAAAGCAAACTGCCAGGTCCAGGACTAGAACTGCAGTCAGCCATATGAGAGTCCAGTGCCCTCAACCACCACACCATCTGCTATGATCATTCTTGGGGCCAGTAGGTGGTATGGTGGTTGGGAATTTTAGTCTAGCAATTTTAGTCCTAGATCTGGTGGCTTGAAACCTGCCATGCAAGTGCTGGTGTGCCTTAAATCCTGAGAGGAGAATGGGAAGAAGGGGTGATGGCATGGCCATATCCCCATAGTGGGGGTGGGGGTGATTTCTCACATCCTCTCTCTCTGTCTCTCTGGTGAGTGCATGCACCCTATAGCAAAAAAATCTCTCTAAAATAAGAAAGAAAGAAAGAAAATATGATTATTCTTTGGCGGGAACTTACTTTTTTGAGGATTTTATTTATTTATTTGCCCTGAGCAAAGACAACATTAATCTGTAGTAAAATAAAAATAAGCTGATTGGGGGGTAAAATATAAAACCTACATACCCTTTCAAGAAGAAAAGTAAATCTGAATGCCATTCTTCAATATATGAGGCTGTTTTGCATTATATTCTTGGATTCTAAGGGATATGATATTCATTCGCTTCTAAGAGGAATTACGGTAGAAAAGTTTGAAAAGTACTACTCTACATGCACTGGGTGCCTCCCAAATACTCTTTCTTCTATAAAGGTAGCCCGAGCTTTTACTTTGTGCTGGGCACTTTGAAAGACACCTAGAATAGCAGATATAGATGGGCTCTCACTCCGCCCTATTCATTGTCTTGGCAAATGGATGCTTTCAGGAAAGGAGAAATACAGGCAGCTTCCAATGTCATGGGAAGGGAGCAAGTAAACAAGGTTCCACTTCAGACAACTCTGACATGTCAGAAAGGAATCACCTATGCAGAATGTTCCCAGGGCTACACCCTTTTCTCTGTACATCGCGGGCAGTCTACTCCAGTAGGCCACTGACACGCATCAGAACCCTGTCTGTGTCCTTCTTTCCCCTCCCGCTCCACAGCGCATGCATCACCTGGGTGAAAGTCCAGGAACACAAGGGAAAAGCGAAAGCCACAGCCAAGAATCAGGCTACCTTAACATGCAGGTGTAGTTGCCTGTGTCATTGAGGAGGGTGGGCCGGAACCAGAGCACATCCTTCTCTTTACTAATTCGACTGTCCGGGAGGCGGAAGTTAATTGGCTCCTCAAGGTCCCGATCCTGCCTAGTCCAATACCAGATCAAGGTCAGGCCAGCCGAATGGGCTGTGCTGTAGTTGTATTTCAAGAAATGTTCAAAGAGTGGACACTGGATGCGAGCTGGCTCATCTTCAAACACTTGGATTTGCCTCATGGTATCTAGCCCCCAGTCATCGCAGCGTTCTGGAATAATCAAAAGAAAAAGGGCGGATGAGTCATTTCATAATAAAGGCCTCCAAAGAACATACCTTCTCCTCAGGATCCCCAGTCTTTGCCAGGAACCTCTTTCTCTGGTTATCTTCAATAACTTCCATCTAATAATTGCATGTACTTGGCACCTGTGGTGTGAAGAAATTAATTCTCCCCATCGTTTTATTGTCTCTTGGATTGAAATTTGATTGGATAGCTAGATCTGGTTGAGCCCTACCAGGTGTGGGAGAAGGTGTCCTTGAAAAGGAAATCACATGCTTCCGTACTTTCTGGGGTCAGAGGAGAGTCTAAAAGGGAAATTATAAGGACAACCCTCAGCTAGGTAAAAGAGAGGACTCCCAGTTCTTCCTGAGACTCCCGGTTGTTGGGCTGGATGTGCACTGTCCAAGAGAAATATGATGCAAGCTACACAGGCAATTTCAGACACCCCAGTTCCCACATTATAAAAGTAAAAAGTAGTGAAAATAATTTAAGTGATATATTGTGTTAAACTTGATACACCCAAAATATAACCTCCCCCCATAAGCCATTTAACATTTACATTATTTTTTTTGATGAAAATTTTCAAAATTCAGATCCACTGTGGTGATTAAGGGGGCTGGATCCCACATGGCTTACACTGTGGTTCAAGCGCTGGACCTGGCAGCTTGAAAAATACTCCAGCATATGTACATGTGTGGTCGAAATCCTGAAAAAAAGGGAATGATGGAAGAGACGGATTGCAAAGGGACCATTCTTCATTAGGGGTGCTTTCTTACTTTCACTGTATTTTATTTTCTTTCTCTCTCTCTCTCTCTCTCTCGTGCATATGCCCTCTGGCAAGCTTTTTAAAAAATAACCTCAAAAGTCAATGTATTGTACACTTAGTACATCTGAATCCGGGCTAGCCATTTGTGTTTACTGGCTGCCATGCTGAACAGCAGGACTGCAGGCCTGAAGAAGTACTCACTGGGAAGCAAAGCAAAGGTGCTACAGCTCTCACGACGGGGTCAAATGACATGTGTGATGGTATTGGCAACTTTTTATAATGAAGAATAAGCGCAATTCAGAAATAAAAATAAATTACTTCTCAAAATTAAAAAATGTTTTGAACTTGTTCTCTTTTTCATGAGGAGAGAGAAAGAGACAGAAAAAGAGAGAATTGGGGAGACAGGGACCCCTGACAGTGTCTTGCCACATCATAATCCCTGCTACCCCCAATCTTTCAGTCAGCCTTTTGAGCAGCGAGGATCACGTGTGTGCCCAGCAAGTTCAGGTTGACCCAGGATGCAAACCTGGGCCTTCTGAAATGGCACCAGAATCCTCCAGTGAAACCCTACTGCTGGCCCGCTTAAGAGAAAAGTGGGGAGACAGGGACCCCTGACAGTGTCTTGCCACATCATAATCCCTGCTACCCCCAATCTTTCAGTCAGCCTTTTGAGCAGCGAGGATCACGTGTGTGCCCAGCAAGTTCAGGTTGACCCAGGATGCAAACCTGGGCCTTCTGAAATGGCACCAGAATCCTCCAGTGAAACCCTACTGCTGGCCCGCTTCGGCCAGCCTTTTATCTTTTCTTAAGGATGTATCTGGACCGAGGACTCTAAATGTTACCACATGAAGGCAGGACCGAGGTCAGGGTGAAAGAGTCCTGTAAGCCCCAAAACAAGTGTCCTAAAACAGGTTTCTAATTTCCTGAGTCCCTAACATACATACATGCTTATCTGTGTTTTTAAACTATGTAATCTTCCCTGCATTTCAGGTGACATCTAAAACATTTCATGCTAAGTATGATAATTGAAAGGGTATACATAGTATCATAGTTTAAGGAATGACATTTTAGAGGACCAGCAGTTAGTAACGACTCCCATTTACTCGTCCATGGTTCGAGTCCCAGACCCGGTGGCTTAAACTCACACCAGGCGAATGTGCATGCATGTCCAAGATCCTGAAAGGAGAATGGAGGAGAAGGGATTGCAGTGTGGTCATCCCCCATGGGGGGTGATTTCTCGTTTTCTGTCTCTCCGTCTCTCTGTCTCTTTCTGTCTTTCTGGCAAGCGCACATGCCCTATAGCAAAAACCTCTCCAAAAAAAAAAGGAATGACATTTTAGAATAAAGTGGTTACATCACTCTTTTAATTACCTCTAATGGAACAGAGATGCCCCATGGACCAATTTAAAAAATATGTAAACGAGCTTTCTTTTAATAGTTATAAATCCCATTGCCCCTTTTTCACCTTGAACTTATAATTCTACTAACTCCATGCACAATTTTACTTCAATGCAATATGATTTTTTTCTTTACTTCTTTTATTCTTCATTCACAACAGTGTACATGTGGATGAAGAGAGAGAGGGAGAGAGAGGAAGAGGGAGAGAAAGGAACACCCTCTGCAGGACTTAGTCACAGCACCGTCTCCCTCATCCAGGAACAGCCCACTGGATCCTGGGCACTTGCGCATGTGCCAAGCTAGCCAGGTTGGGATTTGAACCGAGGCTGTTATGTGGGGTCTGGGTTCTCTTGAGTAGTGCATTACCAAATTGCACCACAGAGCCAGCCTCTAATGGAATACGGTCTTATAATTGATCGTTATTTCCCATCATTTTATTCTACTTTACAACAAATAAGGCTCTAGGTGTTAAAAAGCTTTTTCTTCTGGAATGAATTGTATTAAGATTATGGTTATACAATTTAAATAATATTTTTCAATTTTATAAGTAGTTATTAAGCACAAAATGTAAAAATTTTATGGGAAATCATGCCTTAATAGTCTTGGATGGACTGGCTACTTTTGAATGTTAGTCATTAGTTGAAAATTGTTTGTTTTATATGTTAGTATTGAGGAAATTTGTTCATAAGCCAGGAACACAAGTTTAGATCTAGCAAGGTAACTCAATTTTTTCAATTCCTTCAGATATATATGCCCAGTTTATGTATTTATCATGAAAAATTATTTTTACTCACCACCTGTCAACTCTGGAATACAGAATCTACAAAACCAGCCCTAGTACTCATTCCTTCCTGTAAAGACACTCTCTAGCAATTTAAAATTTTGAACCTTCCCATCAAAAATGAGAGCTCATGGGACCAGCAGTTGACATAATTGCTATGTCGCTGGACTCCCATGTAGTCAATCACGGTTCAAGTCCCGGACCCAGTGGCTTAAACTCACACCGGGCGTGTGTGCATGCATGCCCAAGATCCCGAGAGGAGAAGGGATTGCGGCATGGCCATCCCCCCTGGGGGGAGGGGAGGCAATTTCTCTCTTTCTGTCTCTCTGTCTCTCTCTGTCTTTCTGGCAAAAGATGAAAATAAAAAATAAAAACTCTCAAAAAAAAATGAGAGTTCATTTTCTTACCCCTTAAATCTGAGCTGCCCTCCTGACATAAATTGACCAACAAAATGCAGCAAAAGTGACTGTGGGGCAATCCAAGCCTGGGACTTCAAAGCTATTGCTTTTCTCTTAGAACTCTGTTACCAACATAAGAACAAGCTCAGGAAAAAAGAGACCACATGGAGTGGCACTGAGGCAGCCCAGCCAGCAGCTGGCCCACCCCTAGAAGCACCCTGTCTGGTCTTTTCATTACTGAATAAAGATTAAGAGCAAGTCCAACCTAAATCAGCTAAGCCAGGAAACCTATAGACTCATGAGCAAAAATACCTGTGTAATTAAAAAAAAAAAAAAAAAGAAAAAAAAGAAGTGTTTCCACTGAAATTTGTGGTGGTTGGTAAGACATTTTGTAGCAGCAGATAACAGGCAGAACAACTAAATTTACAGTTACTTTAATTTTGATATAAGCAAAGAATTGGAAACTTTCTGATTTGCAAAAGGATTTGTCACCTAAGTAAGTAATATATGTCTGGAAAATTTAACTATTTTTTCAAGACTCAACAAACGACTATTAGTTGCTCTGCTTTCATTTTGAAGCATCATTTAAAATTCAAAATACAGAGAAGGAATTGGAAATTCATGTCAATATACTTTGTAGTCAATATTTTAAAATAAAACATCTATTTTATCACACTCTTTAAGTATATTTTCATTAACAATGCAGAGTTGCAGAATTAGCTCCATCAGTTTTTAGAAAATTACAGCCCATTCTGTGCCCTACAAAGATGTATAATGATTATATGTAAATCTTAAATTACAATAAATAATTAAAGAGAAAGAAAAAGAAAATTACAACCTCTGTTTTTCAGAAAAACATTATCATGTGCCTCTAATTTCACTCCTTTCTGAAGCTCCATTGATACTAAAATAAATTTTGAAGGCATGATCTCAAAGAACAGTAAGAACAGGAGAAAAGACCATGGCGACATCAAAATAGAAAAGTAGTAACCAGTTTAGCAGATTGAAAAAGACAAATCCTCAACAAGCAGGGGAAAGCTGGAGAACAAGCCAATTTGCAATTTGAGATGCTGGAAAGACCCAGGAACCATCAGCAAGGAAACAAGGAGGGCCCGAGTGCCAGTCACCCAGCATGTCTGGGCCATCCCCTACGTCTAAGACTGTACCTGCACGAACTGCACTTTCTGCAGCTCTGAAATAAAAAAGACTTACTTTGGCTAATGAGATAGTGGGTGTTACCTGTGGTGGATATTTTAAGGGTCAGAATGTATTTCTCTAAATTTCCTCTTCTGCCTTGGCAAATATGAAAGCACAGAAATTAGATGGACGTTCCCTTAGCTTGGGTCTTTTACTGTGGACAGCATGCAGCATGTTATTTTTAGTCACAGATAACTGGGGTTTGCTTCTTACCAAAACCAATATTCTATTCTGTCTTGGAAGACAAAGACAGGTACCTCAGAATGGAAGATATGGGGAGAGTGGTAAAATAAGAAGAATCAGATGAAAGCTATATCAAAAAGTTATATCCTTTGTTTCAATCCTGCTCTTCGAGTACGGAACAACTTTCCTCACACAGAGACAAGGATGATAGCTGTCAGAACTTTCATTTCTAGCCAGGAGAATGAAAGAATCTTCTGTGGGAAATTTG